GTCAGAGAGTAATGAATCAGAAATAATTATAACGTGATGTATTTATTTATTTTAATTTGGCACGTAAGATAAGCCATAGATATATGAACAGATTATATTTGATAAGACAAACTAAAGATAAGCTAATTATATAAACATACATTTGATTTGCCTAATCATAAATCTATATAACAATACCATATGTGACATCATATATTTAAATTATTTCTACCTGGTGTGGTATGATTAATGCGATCTCATAATCATAATGAATTAATGCCACCTTATATCATCTTATGACCTTAAGTGTGACAGAAAATATATAAGATACACAACAGAAATAATGTCTCTGTTTAATCACAGACTCTGGGCAGTTTACAAACATCATATATCAACTTTAGGATTACAGTTTACTTTGGGCTGAAGAATTTAAAACAGTGAAACAAGCTTTTCACTACCTATCATTGCCTATTTCTGAGGCCCATAAATAGGGCTGCATCTGTAGAACTCCTCCATAGATCTGGATTACGTTGGAGGCCGCTAAAGATGGAAAGGGAACTGCCAAATATTCTTACCAAAAGAGAAACTTCTTTTTTTCCTCCTGAACAGGCAGCTGGCATGCTGAATTTGTACAAAATGTCCCCCCAGCCAGATGGTAGGGAGGAGGGCATATGGTACCGGTTTCAACTCTTTTAAAATTAAATCCCCCTCTGGTGCTTCTTGGCTTGTTGCAGATGCACAGAATGCAGCTGACGTCAGTTCACTGATTTACTGGAAGGGAGAGGGGCACCTCAGGGCCCTTTTAACCCTCCCATCGTAACAGGTTGGTGGAATATATGCTCCCACTTTGTGATATAGCTGTGGGGTTTATCCCTCCCAGGTCCCACTTCACCTGGGGCTGTATCCAACTCTCAGTGATCTATTATTCAGGGTCATTTCACTTAATGGTGGTAGTGTTGAAGATATTCCAGCACTGTATTTCCAAGCCCTTTTTTTTGTGCTGCTCAGAAATGAGGGTTAATTTTTTAAATTCCCTCTTAGTATTCCTTGTGCTGAAGATCAATATCCATCAGCAGTGGGAGAGAAGCGAGCACTTACTCCCACCTTGGTCCATCCTGGCACAAACTTGTGTCCCTGGATAGAGTGCCAGGTCCACACAATCTGGTTAAACTCCAATGTTTCACCAAGTGTACTTTACTCAGTTTAAAAGTGCTGCATACCCCATGCATACAGCTTTTTACTTGTCACCACGCAAAGCTAATTGCTCAAGTTGTTTGAGAATGCATCTGAATACAGAATGAGTCTTAGGGGTTACCTTAAGGCTACGGGGTTATGCTAGTGCACATAGCTGCACTAAAGGCACGCTACATTAATTGCTTTTATCAGTAACCACTACCAGATTAAAAATGTGACCTCAGACCATGGTTTTTCAAGATATAAGGGAGTGAAAAAAAGCTTCTGAAGACTAGACTTTCATTTACATACACATAGTACTTCTCACAGCAAAAAGGAAAATAGAATGTAAGTTGTCCTGAACAACAAAAGCTTATAACGAATTTCTGCCAATCTGAAATGCTGTCTGATGCTCTCACTTAATAAAACTTTTGGCTCCAAGTCTGAATAAAATTGTGCAGCCTGACACGTTACTCTTAACAGTAATCAAACCAATTATCTTGTTCTTGCCTGGAGCTGAAATCTTCTGAATAGGTAAACATCTGCTTACTAACTGCCAGCTCCTTGCTATTACCTTCACCCCATTTTACCCCACTGATAATCTTGAAAAAGAATTTACAAGTTCTGAAAGGCTCGTAATATATGCAGCATTCCTGAACTTCTTGGCACATTAGCCTTGAATCAATTCAGGCTAAACCACCTTACTACCACTGATTATTTAACTTTTTACTGTTGCATTGTTGAATTGTCTTTACTCTCCACCACAGGCATCTTGCTATAATGGCATTTTTCATGAGAAGATGGGGTGTTCTTCTTTCCCCTTTAATGAATTGCAATAATCCATCATGAAGCTGTAACGTGACTGTAGCTGCAGCTGATGTTGCAGAGCTGTGCTGCAAGTGTCCCATAGCAGGCATCCAACAAGAGGTGCTGCCTGCCTCAGCTAACATTTCCAATAGTAGTAACTTGCTTCATGGCATATTCCAATTACAGAGCACAATCTCTTTAGATGAATCTCTTGGCTGCCTTTTGCAGGCAAGAGAAAACTAGCTCTTCGCAAAATGAGTAGGATCATCTTAAGAAATCTGAAGCTAAAATAGATAGGATAGAAGCACATCTCCTGAAAGCTCACACTTTGGCAGTGAAGCTGTTATTGGAGTAGTCAACTCTGAAAACAGAGTAAAACAGAAATGGCTGAAGAGCCTTAAATGAAGGGAGGGAAAACCTCTGTGAAAAATACACAATATTTTAACTATTTTGAAAGAGTGTGGCTGAAGGAGGAGACTGGCAGGTGAGTACAGAGCATGTGGGATCAATTGAATATATCAAGAAAAATACAGGAGACAAAATACAGGCTTGAGAGACAGCAGCTAAGCCTTATAGTGAGAAAAGGAATAATTTAGTCTTTCTGAGCAGGATAGATTAAACCACATTTTCTTAGGTTCTCTGACTTACAGTGTATGTTCACTACAGTGTAAATTGATTTAAGGCTGGAGCTCCTGTAGTCCTGCTTCTGCCACGCTTTGCCTTCCTGCATCTGTTCTGGGAGTTCAGCAGTAATGCCTCCTTTGAGGTTGGCTTGCCTGTGAGCTGGACGGTTCTCTCTGAACTGAGTAATCAACAAAGCCAGCACAGAAGAAGCACAGAACTAAGAGTCAGCAAAAGGAGAATCCCAAAAGCCTGATTTAACGCCAACTTAAACTGCAGTGTGGTGCACACCCACCCTGAATGTGGGACACCAACAGGGACATGATTTAAGGATGGGATGAGAGGATTAAATCTTATGATGCTTTAAAAGTCAGTGAAAACTAATTTAAGAATGCTATAAACCAAAGTTCCTTAATTATCATAATTGCATGGTGTCAAGATAAGGCTGAGTTAAGGTAATTTGAAAATATAACTACCTTTCTTACATCTCAACATGCTCAGATTTATAAAATGAAATGAGTGTTTATTTCCTCTGAAAGAATAAATTTTTTTTCCATTGTTTTTACATTTGGTAAAGTTAATTTTTTGTTGTTGTTGAAAATATATACACACACTTCTTCTCCCCTGGCCTTTTCTTCCTGTAACTAGCAACAGGACTAGAGAGAATGGCCTCAAGTTGCATCAGGGGAGATTCAGGCTGGATTAATGTATTTCCTAATGGAAATGCTTCTCTGAAAGTGTAGTCAGGTGCTCAAATGAGCTGCCTACGGAGGTGGTGGAGTCACTGACCCTGGAGGTGTTCAAGAAATGTTTAGATGTTTTACTGAAGGACATGAGAAATATTAGTGATAGGTGGATGGTTGGACTGGATGATCTTGGAGGTCTTTTCCAAACTTGGTGATTCTATGATTCAATGATTCTATACGCAAACACATTTGAAACATTCAAACTTTAGCTGGAGTCGGCATGGATTTTCCCCCAGAGAATTCTATTCAGAGAAAAGATGATTACTTCCAATTAGCTATCAATTGGACGGTACACATGGAAAGGATGTGAGGAGGAAATATGCAATGCAGGCTTTACAAGTGACAAATGATCTTTAGGGTATGAAAACGAGAAGATGTGGTCTCATCCTCCCCCTGTCTGACTCAAGTCATGCAGGTACTATGCAAAAGACTGTAAAAACACTGCTGAGTTTTTGACATATAGATGAAAGAAGACAAATAGTAAGATTAAATCAAAGGAAAGTCAATTTTACCAGAAGGTAATTTTTCTTCCAGAAAAGCTAATTTCTGCTCTGTTGAGCACAGGTTGAATTATGCCTTAAGCAAAGTAAGCAAATAGGTGTTTTGACAGAAGGTTCATATATTAATTAATTCAGAAAAATCCTTATCTCTTATTACAACTTATAAAGAAACTTTCCATGAGATTAACAAAATCTGTAGTAGACCTCATTAGCATTACTCAACTCTGACAACACTTAAACAAATGTATCTTAAAAGGATCTTTTAAGAGGATCTGGAAGCTCACTTCAGAGCAGAAAAGTTATACTCTGAAAAGCTCCTTAAAATTGCGTTTAGCAGATCTCCAAACTGTGAAATACGCCTCTTATAGCTATCCTTACTGTGTTTAAAATACATTTTACTACTTCTGATAGTGCTGTATGTAGCGCAAGGGCATTGCCAAGATAAATTGACTGAGATCCTGAAGACTCAAATGCTAAGTTAAGCTTGCATGTGAACTTCTGCAGGTGAAGGCCTATTCGTTGAATGACATTAGACAGAACTCTCCTTTCTTCCCATCCAGATGATGAATGATACTATCTGGAATGTCATTTATTAATTTTTCCAAGACTTTCAGAGGCTCTTATTTTCTTCTGAATAAATAGAAAGTTAAAACTTTTTTGGTTACCTTTAGATTCACTCAGCAGGGAAAAAGTATGCTTTTTTTTTTTTTTTTTTTTTTTGGCTGGCTACACTAAAAAAAAAACATATCCTATTTCATTCTATCACATTTTCATCTCTGAAGGCTGACAGGAACATAAAAAGTACCTGTTTATGCTTCCCGTGGCAGTGCTACCACCCTCTTGACTGTGCCAGCAAAACCACTTCTGATTCAGTTAGAGACACCTCTGCTTACTGATTTGCTGGGCTATTTTCAACGGGAATCAGTCCTCACATAACCTCACTCTGATCAACACCTACATTTGTCCTTCTGAGATTATCTGGTGGCTCCTTGCCGCTGACAGCCGCTTGCAGAAGCAAAGTTCTGACTTTGGCATCAACAGCAGGTAAATGGTGAGATTTTGGGGGTAAAAAGAAGAGGGGTGTGTGTGTGCGGCAGGATGACAGAACTCTACTTTTCTTTGTGACACAGAACACTTAGGTGGAACTGGGTGGCACAGGAACCCCACAGTGCCATGCCCACGAGAGCACTTGGCTGCTTAAGCTGGCACTGAACACTCATGCAACTGATTTCATAAATGCAAACCTATTGTCAGCAGGTTCACTTGTTTGTTAGAAAGCATTTTCAGGTCTGTAGCCAAGAGAGAGGCCAATGCTGACACAACCACCACTGAGGTGAGCAGTCTGTTTTTCCCCCAACCCATCAGTACTGTGTATCCTTTCAAACACTACCTTTCTTTTAAGGTTGTCTTCAACAGTGAGGTTTAGAGATTTTCTGGCCTTTAATATTTTAATATATTCTTCTATATTTTCATTTGAATTATTTATGTTGTGGCTTGATAGAGACACATTTGCTCATTGGATAATTCACACTAGCATTTTATTGCAGGTTTTTTTTTTTTTCTTTACATGAGATTAAAAAAATCTAACACAAATTCTTGCAGTTTGAATATGGCCAACTAGCTGGTTACTGCAATCAAAGCCTTTATTACTATTATTTTTGACTTTTATCTCTACAACTGCATTATAATAACAATGTTTTAGTTTGCTAAATAATGACTTTGCCATCTCCTTGGAGGACACTAATGCTCTCCTAATACTCTTGTGTATCAAGCTCACCTTAAGGTCAGGTTTTTTTTCTTTTTATTCAGCAGCAGATGGAGATAAAATACAAGCACTGTTTATTAAACAGCCACTTAGGAGCACAGTTAGAAAAGTAATACAGCTCCCAAGGATGGATACAGTCCTAGGATAATTCAGAAGTGGCTGCAATGAGGAGCGCATGATTGGCAGATTTACACTAATATGAAAGAGATTAAGTCCTAGAGATGAAGTTTTTTTCAGTTGTTACTATACCATAATTCTTGCTTTTGACTTTTTTTTTAAATTTTTTTTTTAACATATGAAAGAAGGATATTTCTTACTTGTCAGATTTTGTCCCAGTTATTTACATCTCAGTAGCTTCAGTTCTGGATAAGATCACTAACCAAGATCCAAGATCTCCCTTCCACTCTTCTCTCCAAAACTGCTAGCATAGTGCTGAGAAGTCCAAATTTGTTGTACGTGCCAATGGTACTATTGTCACGGGTAGCTAACATGGCTCTTTGTTGGCATCACAAACAAATCAATGGAAGCAGTGTTTTTGGAGCCTTACGTACTGTGACAGTGCTACTTACTTGTAATGGGCTATTTCATGGAGTAACCACGGAGATATTTGAGTAACATGGCAAATAAAGGGGACAAGTCTAAAATTAGGCATTAGGCAATCTCAGTTGACCTGCTTGTTGTCTCTTTGTTTTCCTAAAAGCAAGTATCCAGGGCCCACGTTACAATCAGCAGCTCCGATTCTTATTTACCTATCACTGTATGTAGACAAATTATTGTAGCACCCAAAAATTGAGCTTTAAGATCTTGAAAAGAGGAAATAAGCTATTTAACTTGACCACATTTGGCTGAGGGATATGAGAAACATGCTGTTATGGTCCAGAAGGCTTAATTAAAATGTTTGAAATTATAATGTTCTGTTAAACGCTCCTCATGAACTGACAGAGATGGATTTTGGTTTTTTTCTTCTGCTTAAGAAAAACAAAGCAGAGGCGACAGGTCGTTAATCATCAGCTGTCAATGGGATTGTGCCTCTCCATCCACGTTGTTGCAGTCCTTTAGAAGCAGTGCAAAGCCTACAATTAGCGTGTCTCCATTCGATTTATGACCTTGAGAGTCTGAATGCGTTTTGTTGTTACGAGCATTGTTACTAGCACTGTGCATCCTACCTTACATTCATTACCTTTAAATATAAATTGATCTGAGTGGGGAAGATTTTACACTTTCCCGTGCTTTGGTGCTGAGTGTTGGAATCGTGGCTTCAAGTAACATTCCTCTGCAGGTCTTGGTAAAGTGAACTGAATCAGAACCGTGAAATGGTTTGGGTTGAAGGGACCTCAAAGTGGTCAGGGCTGCCACTCACTATCGGGCTGCCCAGGGCCCCACCCAGCCCTGCCTTCAGTGCCTCCAGGGATGGGGCACCACAGCTTCTGCGGGCAGCTGTGCCAGGGCCTCGCTGCCCTCTGAGCGAAGAATTTCTTAGTGACACCTAACCTAATCAGCCAAGCTTTTCCGTGGTACTCGGTGACGAGGGCTGGTGCTCGTGTGATTGCCTGCGAAAAGCAAGCGCTGAGCTTCCACCAGATCCCGGCCGCGACCCCGGGCAGCAGGGGCCTCACACGGAGCCCACGCCAGGGCCACCTGTCCTCAAAGCAACGTTGGGAACCAGCCTATTGCCGCGGCCACGGGGGTACCGCGAGCACCGCGGCGGGAGGCGGCGAAGCGCCGACCTCAGCCAGCCCAGCCGCCTCCGGGGCGCAGGCGCACGCAGAGGGGCCGGAGGCGACCGCCCGTCCTTCCGCCGCGCGCCCCGCCTCGTCCGCCGCCCGCGGAAGTGAGCGGAGCGGGGATGCGGCCGCGCTGCCGCCCCGAGGCGCGGAGGTGAGAGGCGCGGCCGGGGGCTGCCGTCCGCTCCCTTCGGCTCCCGCTCACCGCCGGCCCCTGCGCCATTGGGTGAGCGGGCGGGGCTCGGCCGAGCGAGCCGCGGGGGGACGCTCCTTTCCCTCTGCTCGCGTCTCTCTTCCCTCTCCTCTCCCTCCCTCCCGACCGGCGCTGAGGGAGCTCGGGGCGGGCGCTGGGCTATTTTTAGCTCCCCGGGCTGCGGGAGGCGCTGGCGGCAGCGGCCGCGGTGCGGTGCGGGGCGGCGGCTGCGCGCTGCGCCTTGTGCCGCGCTGCGCCCCGAGCCGCGCTGTGTGCCGCAGCCTCCGCGCTCCCCGGCGTGAGGGGTCCGCGGCCTGCGGGGTCCGGCGGTTTTTTTGTGTGTGTGTGTGTTTTTTATTTTTTTACGATTATTTGCTTGCCCTTCTCCAGCGCTGGTTTCTCTTGCAGATGTTGCTGCAGGTGGGGGCAGAGGGAGCGGTGTGATTGCCGGGGATCTCGGGGCGGCTCTCTCTCCAGCTCTCAGCTCCCGCTCCGGCGCCGCTGTTGCTAAAGACTTTTGTAACTCTCGACTCACGTACGATTTCGATGGAAAATGAAGGTAAAGCTCTCCCCGGAGCCGCTGGCCTCCTCGGAGCCGAGAGGATCTCTGTGCTGGGAGCGCGCCTCCTTTCACCTCCGTAGGGGCCCCTGGGCTCGGTGCTGTTTAGATGATGGGATGAAATCCGTCTTTCGTGCTTAAATCGAGGAGCGTTAATCGCACTTAGCTTTGAAATATTTTCCTGCCTACTTAATCTTGCCCTCTTTGCAGTTATTTTTTTCATTAAAAGCATGACCGAAGCTTAACGTGCTGCCATTCGGACGAGCTGGTGTGCAGCTGCCGTCTCTAAGCGATGCGGGAAGGCGTTCCTTTGGCGTGCTGTGATGCGCGTTCTCCTCGTCTGCTTTGGGGTTGCTGTAGTCTGGGGAGTTATTTCATGTTGTCCGTGCTGGGTTTCCGTGTGTGCTCTGGGAGCCTTGAAAGCCCGTTTGCGTTGGTGATGCTGACTGTGAGCTTTGCTGCTGTCCTTCTGAGTTGACTGGGGATGCTGTAAATCTCTTGAAATTACAGTTTTCTTTATTATGGATGTAAGCTGGAGGTGCTCGAGGCGGGGTTGGATGGAGCCCTGGGCAGCCTGGTCCAGTGCTGGCAACCCTGCCTGTGGCTGGAGTAGAGCTCAGTGATCTGTAAGGTCCCAAGACATGCCATGATTCTATGAAATAGCAGTCCTCTTATGACAGATCACAGGATGGCCTGGGTTGGAAGGAACCTCAAGGATCATGAATCTCCAACTCTCCCTGCCACAGGCAGGGCCACCAACCTCCCCATTTAATCCTAGACCAGGCTGCCCATCTGACCTGGTCTTGAACACCATCCAGGAATGGGGCATCCACAACCTCTCTGATCTCTGTTGTCATTATTCTTTGGAGATACTGGATAGAATTTTTTGGTGGCCACTGTATTTCCTTTGTTGTGGATGGATGTGAACCTGAGCAGCTTAAAGCAGAGGGATGCTTCCTTGAGGGTCTGACTCAGTAGCCTGGATTGGACTTCTAGGGGTAGACTCGTGGGTTTCCATGCTTGGATATCATTCTGTTTCTGGTGACTAGAAAGCTGTTGTAAAGTCCAACCTATGTTGAAAATGCCATAGGTTGTTATAGTCTTGCATCTCAGAACATTTTTCTAACTTGAAAAATGCTAGAATTTTATCAGTGCTATTGATCACATCTTCTAAGTGAGTATCTGTGGTAAAGAACACAAAACTTGTCAGATAGAAGTCGTGATGTCTGTGTAGGGGGGACATCTCTAGAAGACTGATTTTAGCTTTGGGAGCCCAGTTAGCTGACAGAAGCAGTGTCAGTGCCTTTGCATTAAAGTTGCTGCATTTTTAAATAAGGTTTTTGAATGACTGAATCTCATGGCAGGAGAACAATGAATCTGATACAATTAAAAAGAAATACAGGTAGGGAAAAAGTATCTATCTGATGTTTGTGTGCCTAAACTGAAAGAGCAGGAAGGCTTCTAATGCCTTTTTAGTTCTATTAGCAAGTAAATATGACATTACATATAATCAAGTTTTGCATGGTACAGTGTGGCCCATTCTAATTCTGCTGAAGGCTGGTAGCACAGAGATGGCATTTCTTATGTTTCTTTTGGAAGAAATAAATTATATTTCAGAATGGGGAGTAAGATTTGTATGATAGGAATGACATAAAATACAGCTAAGTCCACGGGAAAAATACTTCATAAGTTGATCAGACATGTATTTCAAAGGATGAAATAGTTGCTGTGGTTTACTGAAAGTTTGCAAAATGGGGTAGTTTCCTGGGGGTTGTAGGAAAGCTAAATTTCAGCACAAATTAAAAAATAGAGTTGTTTCTTCTAACGTTTGCATTGCTTTGTCTCCACTCTTTCCCCCCCACCTCCACCGGCTCATAACTGAGCTTCTGGGCAGACATATTTACAACTGTCTACTGTCTGTTTTGTCCTCTCGCTGTTTCTGAGCTCTTCTTTTTCTGTCCATTTGACATTTTGAGCCAGCTAGATGCTAGCAGCTTTCATCTGGATCGTTTCACCACCCCTGACAGAATCATTAATGTATTTTCTCCAGGTGAGAGTTTGAACTATAGAATAAGGATTGCAGGAAGATAGAAGGTGTTGTTTTGTTTTTTTTTCCCCCAAGTCTACGTTTGAAAGTTTGAATATTAAACAAGAAATGGCAGATTTTTTTTTTTTCTACATTTGGAGCAATATTCAAGGACAGAATTGATGATGCCATTTGGAAAACTGATGTTTTCATCTCATAATTTATTTTTCATAAGCATTATGGCACAGTCACTGTAAGCTAGCTAATGTTTTGTCCCAAGACTTTGTGGTTTCTGTCTCTTGTATTGGAATGAATTAGCTAATTAAACTTCCCCCCAAATTCATGTAACTCGCAGTAATGGGGAAATGAATTTCCCATCATAGGGAGGTTTTTGCTTTTTTTTGCTTAAGTCACAGTGAGGCTGTGACTTAGGGATTGAAGTTTGTGTTTTTGTTTGGAGTTCTGTGGCTTCAGAATTGGAGCTCTTCCTTAACTTGTGGACAGGCGAGAGGACTTGCAGCTGCTTAGAGAAAACAGCTCTGATAGCAGTTGTGAGATAGTGGTGCTGTTTTGTTTCCAAGGCCTTCTGTAGCATTCACTTTCAGATCACCCTGTGCCTATTGGAAGAAGTCAGCACTCCGTTTTCCCACCTGTAGATTTTCCTGAAGTCACACAGAACATTGGCACGGATTTACTGTAAATAATAAAATCGTGGCGTGGCGGTTTCGAAACATGTAATCTTCCTTGTTGTAAGGCCTAGTTAGCTTTAGCTGATCATCACAGACTGCTAGTTCAATCTATATTCTGTCAATGGCAATTTCCGGATAGTTTGGATAACTGGATGAGCACTGAGATGAGTCAATTTCTTTCTCTGAAGAAGGTGCTATGGTTTGTCATGTGCTGCTGAGACAACGTGCACTTGTGTTGTTTTTAACCCATGCTTGGAGTACGGTTGGCTTTCCTGGTGAGTTTTGTGCATATCCTTTACGTCGGCTGCTTTGGAAAAGTGACCAATTTCAGATTGAGCAGCTTGTTTTTTGGGGGGGCAGTGTGGTCACATCGTGGACCAGCTGCCCATGGACTGTGCAGCTGTAAGGGCTGGTGGAAGGGTGGAGGCCAGGAAGGATGCCTGGAGCAGCAGGGACTCGAAAACAATCCACACTATTCCAGAGTGGCATCATCAATTATACTTGAACGTAACATCCAAAATAATGAGTATGAATTTTGTGATGGAAAATGTTCCAAATTCTGAAATGGAGCTGGACTTATCACAGCAGTTCACATGTCTTTTGGCATTACTTGTTTAATAAATCATCTGCGTAGGTGAAACAAGAATTTTTGTATTCATTGAATGCAGTTTGTTTCAATCTATGGCTCGCTAAGAGAAAATTGGAATGCAGTACTTTACATTGATGTTGGCATAAATGACATCTGTTCTGTTTAACTTGGAAGACAAAGTGAGGGAAGGGATTGTTTTTTTTTTTATTTTATTTTTTCGAACCATGATGTTTGAAGTCTTCACTGAAGGCCAACTCTAACAGATAATTTCCTACCTGTTACATATTTAGTTATCATAGTACTGCTAGTGTAGCACTTGCCTTGCATTAGAAATACAGGCTTTCTTTTTGAATTGCAGCTGGTGTCACCTCTGAGTCTGTTGTGTGTTTGGTTGGTAGATCATGGCGTAGTTTTCATCTCTCCCTGATTTTTCCATGCAGATATGCCAGTACTAACCTGTGATAATCTGGAAGTGGTTTAATGTGGGATGTGTTTGAGATCAGATGCTGTGGAATCTGAGGTTAGTTGTTTTGTTGGCTTTGTAGCCCTTTTATATTGGGATCTATGGCATCAGGCTCTTAGTGAGTTACGAAACGCAGTAGTATAAGGAGAATTAAGGTACCTAATTTAACAGAGAAACGAGCATTTTTGTTTCTTTTTGCTGTCCAGTCTGACAAATGAGTGTTGATCTTGGTTCCATAGGCCACTATGACTGTTGCCTGGCCGTTCTTCCCCCCAGCCCCATGCTGGATAGCACTGCTGAGTTAGGGAGCTGCATGGGCTCGTGGAGAGTCCAGTTCATATCAGAAATAATGAACATATGGATCTCTGGAGGGGCTGAGAGCCCCTGCTGCTCAGTGCAGGCGGGATGTTTGATTGACTCTGTTCTTCTGTAGCCATGGCTTTGGTGTATAAGGCTGAGGCTGTCTGTGTGGAATAGGTTAAAGATGAGTAGATTTCATTTGTTTTACGTTTGAGTTGGTGAAGAAGCTCAGGTGATAAGTAACTGACCTTTGCAGTGGGGTTGGTATCAGTTAGAAAGAATGAAAGAGCTGCCATGCTGGGAAGAGAAGGAAAATAAAATACACCAATCAAGGTATAAATATGGGCCAAGCATCTGTTTCTAGTTATTTGTTTTGTAAATATCCTAGTCTAAGTAATTAGAAGGGATAGAGTGGATAATGGGTTGGCAGATGCAGGTTGCAGAATCTACAAAGGCTTTTAAAATGTTTTGTCATAGGTTTTCTGCAGCACTTTTTTCCTATACATACATAATTCACCAGCAAATCTTGATTACAGTGTTGCTGCTTTCTTGATACTAATTATAAGAAACCTTATTGTGAGTATCAACGCAGTGAATTACGTTTGCCTTTCAAAAGGCACTGACACCAGCTTGGCCTTATTTCTTTTAAATGGTCGAATTTGAATTGATTTGGTTTGATTGATTTGGGTTTTGTTAGAATATTATTTTGTCACATGAAGTAACTCCATAGCTGCCAGGTGTATAACCAGCAGTTAGGTCCTGGAGTTTCACTCATTATTTTAAATAAATCTGAACTGTAAATACTGAGCAAACGTGTCTGTTTGAGACTTCATTTAGTTACAATTCCATGGCTGCTAAGTCCGTACGTGCTCTGGGGATGTTGGTAGTATCCCACAGGGTACCAAAATGTTTTGGTGTTTGCTGTTCCAGTGC